TATGGTTTGAAATAGCATGATTTTTTATAGCTGCCCTTGCCACCTCGTATTAATCTTGACATACGGCTCTTAAGAATCTTTCTGGCTTTAATGCCATTTGCCCTGAAAACCTGATGCTGCGTAGCAGCAGTTTTTCGAGTGCTCGTCCGTATCTTCGCACAGCATGATTTGCGCATTCAACTTTTAAAACGCGGCCTCCATATGATACTTTCTCCCTCACTTTCATCATGGTATTGGCATCTCCATCACCCACTAAACGAGTACAACGAATATTATGTACTTCTTCTAAGTACTGCAAGCCGTCTGCTATCGTATCACTTTCCATTCCAGTTGAAGGACCGTTCCAGTTTTTCCAACAGAAGTGCTCTTTTGCTTTTATTTCGATTGAATTACAGATGAAACCGATGTTCGATAAAACACAATTGAATTACAGATAAGACACACTTTATTTCTAACACCGATAAATAATATTTTTTGAGTGGCCATACCTATAATAACTGATATTCCTGCTGAAGCATTATATCCGTGCCCATAACTTCTCTTGCACCATCCACCGTCGGTTATAGCCGTTATACAATAAAAATTATCATTATCTTTGTCTCCACGTTCCTCTGCCTTTTTTTTTTCTTCTGCCACAGCACTATACATTGAGTCCTTCGCATAAGCTTCAATGATTTTACCGGTGATTTTCTCGCAAGAGGAAAACATGTACTGTGACATATATTTGATATTCATAATACTAAATTTTTCTTCTTCTTGAGAAAACCCACAGCCCGTTGTTAAAGCCCCTAAAACAGCTAAGTTATTCAGCGCATTTGGTTCTGTGTCAGATTCAATAATAGCTACGTCTGGGCACAACAGACTGCTGCAAACATATTTAAATGATGCAGCAAGTCCAGTATATTTAACGCTTGAGAATACATATTTCCCACAAAATTTGCAACTATATGTGTGTTCTTCTACCTTTCTGGCTTGATTTATGACAAGAGCTATATTACAGATAAAACGGCCTGAATATAGTTTTTGTATTTACTTGATTTCGAAAAACTTTTCTTTCTAATTCAGAACCACATAAAAATATTATTTTTTTAATATTTCTATAGAATTGTGTACCTCGTTTTCAGTAACTTTTAAACTTTGGAAGTACATTTTACGTGTGGTAAGCATAAAAAATATTTTAGAAAACAGAACTTCTCGAATACCCTTTGCTGTCTAAGTTTTATAAAGATTGAAGCTGTTTTACCCAAAACTATAATTTTAAGGTTCAATCTCATAGGGATATATGTATGTATAAACGAACGATAAAGGCTACTGATATCTGTACATCTGTGAAATTTAATTCACTTAACTAAACAAATGAATGCATTATTTCCTGATTTCTTTTACAAAATTTCAAATAATAAAGATTTTTGCCACAAAAGGGGACCAGCTATAAAGACCTAATGCTGGAAAATGTTGTTTCGGTTTTGTCTCTGTTAACGTTAAAAATCAATACATCACAGGTATGCCAACAATCATTGATAATTTATAAATGTTAGGTGAGATTTAAAAAAAAAATCATTCTATTTAAAAAAGAGGAAGAAGAAAAGGATACATAAAACATACTGTTCTATAAGATCTGTATTCATATGCGATTGAGACACTATTCTTTCTTTCAGACGCCGTAGTCGTTGAGCTTTTGAAGCTAATGAATACAGTGGATGAACGCTCCGACGATTACTTTTAGATTCACCTTTACGCAGAGTCGTAGCTTGGGTTTTCAGCGCCCAGGGACAACTGAAGATTTCGCGCCCCTTACTGCTTGCCAAGGATAGAAAACATTTAATTCTAAAATGTCGTAACATCAGTTTGGCGCCCCTTGGATTCTGCGCCCGGGGACAGATGCCCCCCTTGCCCCCCTCAAGCTACGCCCCTGCCTTTACGCCTACCCAGTTTGGAATTAGAGATCAACAGCGAAGTAATAATAATACAATATCTAAAATATAAAGGCTAAGAATAAAACAAAAAACAGGATGCAAAATCTGATGACGAAAATGTAAAGAAATGAGATCGCTGTATATTCTATGGACTAATTTCAGTTTATAAATTAGCTTCTGATTGGTGTATTATAAATTGAAAATGGAATATCTCTCTACAAGTTCTATTTTTATCTGAACTGCCTCTTCATCCCCTTAGGGTTCCTACCATGAACTACTTCCTACCATGGAGGTAAGAAGTAAGAGGAGAGGCAAAGAATATGTATAGACATAGACGTTCTTTGGGAGAGGGTCCTAACTGGTTTTCCCCTTTCACTGCTTTGAAGCAGTGGCGATCCCTTCATAGACATCTAAATATACAGTTCTTTTTCTATAATATTTCCTAAGTATGTGAAACGAATGCGTTTTTAAGCAACATTTCATTTTGAACGAAATTAAATGCTATACTTTTTCCAGAACAGTTTAATTTGCATGAAATATTTTCACAAGTTTTCGTTAATTATAATAGGAAAAAAATTTAGGTATGTCGATTTTATTCGGTTAAAGATTATAAAAATTAAGATCAAAGTTTATTGTATTATTAATATTAAAATTACGCCTTATTTCTTTTCTATTTACAGAGGCTAATTCCTAAAATACTTTCTCAAACGTGAGATGATTTTTTAGCTCCTGAGGCATCATTAAATCGAAAATCTGAGTCATTTTATAATTAATGCTCTGTTCTGTCCATTTCAAATTAGAGCACCTTTTAATTTTTAATAGTGAAATATATTTAAATATTGGTTGTTGATTTCCATGTACTTGACTTTCTATAAATATTTCTGAAAGAGAATAAAAAAAGGATTACTTTTCTAAATATTATTTAAAACTTGTAACTGAGTTATTTATTATAGAATCTAAGGAAATAATTCTTTTAATATTTACGATATTTTTTTTACCCTTTATTTCAACAATACATATTCTAAAAACTCTTTTTTACTACTTTCTTAAGTACCTATCTCATAGAATTTGCTTTACAAAACCTTTTAACAGATTGCTTTCCAGTACGAACAATCTTGCTTAAATAGTTTTATAAAACAGAATTTAAATTTATGTTTACAATTAAATGTTAAGTTATTATATATTTAGATAATATTTATAATCATTATAAATTTAGATATACTAGATTTCTTCACAGTAAGTTTTACAGAAGTTTATGGATGAATAAATCCTTCATTTCCAAACACATTTATGAATAATTTAATTAATACGTATTTATGTACATTGTCAAAAGCAGATACATGCTTTTCGCAAGCATATGCATAAATACCATATATATTTAATATTTTTTATTTTCGGCGTGGGCAAATATTTAATTTCTGTGCATTCACAATCTTTTTCGAGTAAAGTAATTTACAATAATTTAGCATATACCAGAAAATTTTACATAAGAATGAAATAAATAACCAAACGAATGACGATAACAGATACCAAATTAAAAAAATCTGTGGGGCGTTATAACGTATTACATTATACTATCAGCTTAAATCAAGATCTTAATCTCTTGTAACGATTCTATTAACACTGGCAAAGCTTGATTGTTTGAAAATAAATATAACTTAATGCGTCGTTATCTAACTGATTCTTTGAAAGAAGGTGTAAGTGAATATCCTCGGCTGCGAAATATTCGACGAATTTCACGATTTATCTCTCGAGATGTTCCTTAATTTCCAATTATGCCGTCCTTCCGGCGATGAAGTAACTTATACTACGTGATGCAAGAAAAAATACTGAAATATTGAAGTGGCAAAATTTACTTTAACGAATCTTTACATAAAATAACACACTATACCTAATATTTGAAGACTATTTTAAATCCGTTTTAGTTATACTTAATTTCAATGTATTCAATAAAGTGCTGACCTAATATATAATGAGATTATTAAAAAAAAATTGAACGCATTCTTTTTCTATGATTAAGTTCTTTAAATTACTCCATGTAAATATCAGTTCAGCATTCAAGATTTTGCGTATAATGGTTCAAAATTGGTAACTGAGGCAGTTTTAGAGATACCCCTAACGCTCTCTGAAAAAATATCGAATGATCTTTCCACGTTCTCGCATAACCCTTAGCTGAATATTTATTACTAGTATTAGTCAAATAATTAATCATTTGAATTATATTTAGCGGAGAGCCAAAAATTGCTCTTGAGAAATTTTTCGTTGAATGCACTATTTCGTTATGGTTTCCAGACTCTGCAGATGGCTATTGAAAGCGTTCAACGTTTTGTTATCTTGATTGGCTAAGGCTCCTATTAGAGGAGCCTTATGATTGGCTAAAGAAAGCTTTCAACGTTTTCTCCTCCGAAATTGCTTTTTGCAGGGGGGGTTATATACATTCGAAACCTGTTCAACTCTGCAGACGATCTACAACACAGGCGCGAAAAAATTCGCCAAACTTCCTACTTGGCGAAAGATGCAATGACGTTACCGAAACCTTTAGGTTTGCAAAGTATTTGAATATAATCTATGTATGTGCACATTATGTGTTGTAGAAATAACATTTTGATGAATGAAACGTGTTATAGTGAATCTGTAAATGTTACTTCGTTTCCTAAGATAAAAATATTAACCATTTTAATGCAGAAAAATTAAATATTACCCCAAACGGCACTGCATTTTTTTATGAGATAATAAAGGGCTAAATTTGCTTATGTTGAACGAATAGGCAGACATTTGTCAACAAACCGCCTTAAAAAGCGTTCAGACTGTTTACACTTTACATTCCATCGAGATCTAAATTTATCATTTTGAAAGAGGAAAATAGTAAAACTGCTGATAAGAGTTATCAATAACGGTAGAATTATTTTAGAAGATCCGGGAGGAACAAGCATTTTTCTAACACAATACTCAGTTTTTCATACATTTGTTTAAAATCATGCCTCAGTATTAAGTTGACTGTGTCATCGTTTACTTTTTTAAATCGCATTTTATGGCAACACCGGTAACAGTATGACATCATACCAAATAAATGCTTACCTGAGTATTGATGTTGATGGAGAGTATTAGGGATTGAACAATGTCGTAGTGATTTTTTTATTAAAAAAGTATTTGATCCATTAAGTGACAAGCGGTATGGGTGATTCCATAGAGAGCACGGCTTCTCAGCCGTCGTCTGTACCACCGTCTGTAACATCTGAATTAGCCGATGTTAGTCAATTCATAAAATATATTAAAAGGGTGGTGCCAGTATTACTAGAGGACGATGATGAAGTTCATCCAGCTTTAGTAACAGCTCTTTCTGATAAAAATAACTTAGAAATTCTTAAGAAGTTCATAGGAGATTCACAGTGTAGGGCGATACTTATTCAGAGATCATCAAGTAAAGGTATAATTATTAGTTGTTAAATTGTAGACTGCTTCGTGTAAAAAAAATCAAAATTCTTAAAAATAGTTAGAATTAATTAATTATTTTATAGACTGGGCCTGGTTTTTCAATACGTAAATTTGAATATCATTTCTGATGTGAAAAATAACACAGAATGAAACTATAATTACAATCTTGTCTTTCAGATGATGAAGAAGTTAGTGAAGCTGGAGCGGAAGGGGAAGAAGAGAAAGAAAATGTAGTTTACATTATTTCTGATGATGTTCGTTTCACAAATCCTAAAGTTAACAGGTGCATATTTTTCTTCCGTGAAAACAATGGTCACTAAAAAAAAAAAAAAAACCTGACCGCTTATTTTTTTAATGAAGATTATATATGTATATGCATGCTAGTGGCATGCAAATTATGCTTAATTTACAAGTGGTATCTAAAACCTTTTAATTTTTAGGCATAATAACAGTCTTTGTTATTGTTTTACGCTACAGATTCAATCAACCAAGTCTGCTTTTTTAGGTGCATGCTCTGTAAGGATGAAAAGATAACGTTAAGAAAAAGGGGCAAATAATGCATCTCATATTTCTGTGAATATCTTATTTGAACCTAGGCAAATATTTTATTTGAACTTAAAATTGTGTTTGTGACTACATTTTTAAGAAAACATTTTGTTACCTATGAGTAGTTTTTTTTTGTGTGTGTGAAATAGCAGAATCGCCCACTGCTTGGCACGCTTTTAAGAATTGCGCATACGCGGTATCCATGTACATGTCGACCTATTTTCACTTAAAAAAACATCCCAGAATCGCACAAAAAGGGCATTGTGCACACTCTTGACTTTATCCATGTACACATCGATCTATTTTCTTTTAAAAAGTCAAAGAAAATTGACAAAAATCCAATTCTTCTTACTCTTGTAAAAAGCGCCAAACACAAATAAGTGGGCGATTCTGCACTTTAACCTTTTTTTTTTAAGACTAGTGAGATAAGTCATAACACTCAGTGTATCGAGTGTATTTCATTTATTTGAGAAATGTTGTATAATAATTATGTTTGCAGGACTGTTAATTTTGTTTAAAAGCATCAAGGAAGTACAGCTTTCCGTTTTTAATCTCAAACTTATGATTGCATATAGGTTAAATTTTCATACAGATAGGGTAACAAAAATATTCAAACCATTAACTTTTGAATTATGTAATATTTTTGCCAGTAAATGTTACATTGATTGACATAATTAAATGAAACCATTAAAAAAAGTTTTTAGATAATATAATTCCTCTTGATATATGAATAAGATCAAAATAATTATAAATCACGCTATCTGGATTGCGATAAGAATTTAGTCTGTGACGTAGTGTCATTTAACAGATAACAAAGCATATCTAGCATTTTAACTTGAAAGATGGAGCATTTAAATATGATATTATGAACCGATGAAGGATTAAAAATTGAATGAAATAGTAATTGAAAGATTTAGATGCCAATAGAATATGTTCCCGGGTAGGAAATGATTAACATTTGTCAGAAAAAAAGGAGGGTGAGAGAAAAATTCAAATTTACAGTAATAAAATTGCAACATGAAAAGGCTGAAAAATGTTACAAAATTTGAGAATTCTGTAAGTTAATTATTTCATTGAAATAACAGAATTTAGAATTATAATTACAGGCCTATGATCTATTTTCTCCATTACAAAACTGTGATCATGTTGTAGAATTTAAAATATTGATTCAAGGGGGGTGAGAAAGGCAAGGAGTAACTTAGTGGGATTATTTGTTTTATATAACTGCTAATAAAGTAGTTCTAAAATGGGATAGAATAAAATCTGTGCCTTATTATAGCTCATCTTTCAAAGCTGTGTATTTGTCTCTTTTCGGACTATATTAATTTTTTTTCTCTTTTGAAAACATCACGCTATCTATGCATTTATTCTAGTTGCATATTATGTCACCATATATTTGACCTGAAGGCAGTTAATATGTATATGTTTAGCAATTGAAATATTGCTGAGTAAAATAGTCTTTGATAATCTTAAACTTTCTGGATCCAGAAAATGTCTTATATTAGAATTGTTAATTTCCAAACACTTTGAAGAAAATGAAGTCTTTTTATCCTACCAGATATTTATATGCTTTTCAAAACGTTACATCTTATCATATTGAAGATATTATTATTCCCTTTGAAATAATGTAATGTACTGAAATCCACATTCCTTAAGAAACAGCCACAGCAAAATGCATCATTTGTAAATCAAATTGATTTCATTTTGTTTTCACCAAATCCAAATCACTTTTTTTCCCTAGGTTAATTTTAAGCTAGAACCATAAAACACTAATATCATAATTGTATAATGTTCTATTCCTAGCAGCTGCATGAGGTTGTCATAAATTTTCTTATCGGTAATGTAAATAGCCTTAGTTTCCCTAAGAAAATCCTGTATGTGGGTTTTTCACCTTTTAGATAGGTAACTAATAGAAAGAGTTAGGGAGATAAATGTGCTTTGCTGTATTGAAATAATTTAAGCTGTTTTAATCATGTTCATTTTTATTTTCTGTCACTTGACAGAGTAATTTATGCCCACAGGAGATTTTTTTTTTGGGGGGGGGAGAAGATGTAGTTATATAATTGCTCCATTTTAAAAATTAATATATTTTGGATCTATATGTCAAACATATTATTTTTTATCACTAAATTTAAAACAAAATTAGCTTTGTACACTTTATCTGTTATGTAATTGAACAAATACTTCTCTTCGAAATGCAGAGTTGACAATAATAGATATTTGCAGCTGAACTTTTTTACCTTTCACAATATTTGTATCTTAAATTATAAGCCAACAATACAGTTTAAATAAATTAATGAAACATATACAACATTGTCTTATCACAATATTTCTGTGAAGAAAATGATGGAATATCAGGTTCTATGACATCGTGATAAAGCACAACAACAATTCAGCTCAGTTTTAGTATTATAAAGTAGCAAAGCCTTTTTATTGCATGCTTTGTTTATTTTAACTTGATTCATTCATAGTGATTGATTTATTCATAGTGTTTTTGTTTTTATAGTATTGTCATTATCAAAACTTCATCAGTCATTGAGGCTGAAAAACGAATAGTATCACAGGTACGAGTAATGAATCTGAATGATGCATCACCATATGAAACTCTTCATTCTTATGTCAGCAGTGCTGTTGCACCTTATTTCAAATCTTATGTACGAGAAACTGGAAGAGCTGAGAGGTAATGACTACATAGCATTGGTATTTTTTTTTATTGTCTTTAATATGTATTTTATTATTATATAAAAGCACTGTTTGAACTTTTAGTATTAACATCGTAATATTAATAAGTTACCTTACTAGCATAACACACATTTTTTAGCTACATATTTTAGCTAGGAGGTTTGTAACTTTCCGTCCCTTCATAGGTGGTTGTCTATCAGATGCCACCACAATAAAATGGCCACCACTTCTGGCCTTAGGAGTGGACAGTGCTGAATAGGCAAGTGCCTGCCATTGGATTAAAAAAAAAGTACCAGTACAGTGAAATTAATTTTTAAAGAGTACATAGCTTTATAACTTGCACTTGTTTGAGTTATGTTTACATAGTTAAAATATTCTTAACTGTATTGATATCACTTCCTTCTCTATCATGTGTTATATGTCCAACCATTCAATTCTTATCTTCTGATTATCAGATATTTTGAGTTGGATTGTACGTTGCTGATGCTTGGTAAAAGTTATGGTATTTAGATATTATTCCATTGACTGTTGGTGGAAATTTCAGCAGCATTACCAGTCATAAATCATAACTGTAGAATTCTAAAGGAAGTGAGTAACTTTGTTTTTCAATGAACTGTCATTCTTTATTTGCTTCTATTATCGACAAATGAAAATTATGAATTGAGAAAAAAAATGTATATTTATTCAAGATTTTTAATAAACTAATAACTAAATTTTTTAAAAATCATCAGTTATTGCAGCCGTGGAAAATTCCTAATGACATTTAAAATAGCAATAGGGCCATTCCTAGAGGGGGGTGGTGGTGCACGTAAAAGTATGTGGGTGGCGGTGGTTGGTTGGTATCTTGTGATACCATGCCTAAATATTTGAAATTCATTGTAAGTACTTGTCACATGTAAGTACTTTTTATAGAATTTGTCATATGCAAGTACTTTGTGAAATAAAAATTTATTAATCATCAAGCTTTTTTTAAAAAAAATTGGGTACAGCAATCTTAGGAAAGTATGCGGGCAGCCGATGGCCTAGGAATGGCCCTGAATAGCAGCAACGTGATCATATTCTTTATGAACTCAGCATCATATAAATTTGCTTAAATAAGAATCTAAGTGCTGATGTGTGGTACCATAGTGATTTTTTCAGCCTATTATACTGAATCCCAGAGTCTTTTGATGTTTTCAGTTATGTGTACCACTTTCAGGATCTACAAAATTATACCAGTGATTCACATTCGTATGTGAAAATTCTGCAGCTTTTAATTCACTAGCTTTACAACCTTTCTGATAATCGTAGATTTGGTTATAGATTTGATCGACTATACTTTCTTTTATTGCTTTCATCGAAGTACTTACTTCTATCTGTAACTCTTACAAAACATTTATCAGTCTCTTTGCACAATCCACCAAATAGCCACTGCTGAGGAAGTATTTGACCCGATTCATAAAAAGGTTTTCGTTGATTTCTACTATTTTGTTAGGCCCTCTAATTTTACCAGAAGTTTTGTTCAAAATGCTCCGAGTACAAACTTTTTTTTGCAAAAGATAATTAACCCAAAGACACAAAAGATAAATATACAGAGCTACAGAAGATAATTATTCCAGTCTGTTGCTTTCCTCCATTCAGCAAATGTTAATTCTCTCGACCAGCACAAATATGACAAATGTGATTCTAAAGTTTTTGAACCACGTTTCTTTTCGAATGAGTTACAGTTTTTGGCATTGCATCATCATTGTTCATCCATTTTCAAGTAAAGCACCATATCATGTCCATTAATATGCACTTTTTTTATGGTAGGATTCCATAAGCTCAAAAATTCACTGCTTGCTTTTCTGTAGAAGCCAGGTCTCAAATTTTTATAATTTTGTTTCAAACTGCAAGAAAAACAAGAACATTTTTAATTTCTATCCATGTTCATAAAAACAAAAAATGTCTAATCAAAAATTGATCTGAATTACATGAAACATAAATTCAGATATGCTGTGACATCACAGTCATTCATAACTGGTGCTAAATCATGCTATTTGGCCGGTTGACAGGATAATACATAAGTACCAAAGTTATTAACAAATATGTTTAATTCACTCTGTGCAATCTTTCCTGTAAAGGGTACGTACTTCATTGTCTTGCGACTTGTTATAAATAACTTAAGCTGTATTAAAATGTCTTAATTTCAGTTTTCAAAATTTTGAATATAGTTTTTAGAAGAGGAGTTATATAAATAATCATAATTTGCTGTCTAAAGGAAAATTTTTGCATACCTAAACAATAAAGTAATAAAATATGTCTAGTAAGGAAGTTTCCTGTTTAAAAAAATGCTAATGCTACAATTATAGCAACCTTTGTAGAGGAGTTTTAAAATGTAGCTAGAAAAAACTTTTTCCACTGCTGAGGAAACAGTTGAAAGGTGAAACTTTCCAAAGTGATAGGTTAAAATAATTCAGAAAAATTAATGCATGAAATAATATAGAACTGCTTTACTATAAGTTAAAAATTATCCCACAATTGTTGCAATGATCCAGTAGATTAAATTATTTGATGTATAACAGGTGAAGAGACGAGTGTGAAAAAAGGTACTGATTGATTTTCACAGCCCCTGTTATCAAAATGGAGCCAAGATAATCACCAAGTTTAAACTACTCGCATACAGTTTGTGGCTGCCATATCTGCACGACTGCTTTTAATATGTCATAAAAAAGCTTATCTTTTCCACAGGATTTCCGCCGCTGAAAGATAGAACCCTGAATGATATTGAGCTGTACCTGTCGTTTTGTTTCACCATTTAACGGAGCATCACAATCTTTCCACATTTTGATTGCAAGCACTTGTTGTTGATCAACAAAATTAGATGTGATTTACACTTGAATGGCTGTAACTAGCATTTCAAGGTCGTCTGTTTTATAGGGTTGCCAACAATCTGAATATATTGTTGATTCTTATACTGGTTGGTCTATAATCATTGATATCAGTCTGCTTGCTTCCTGATTTGGAACCTGCCAAGAAAGTACTTGCCACTTTGACACAAAAATATTTTAATGAAAAAAATAGCACTAAATGCATGCTTTGATCTTTTCTGTTATATTATTTAAATAATTTTTTAGCGTTCTGAAATTTTTGATTAATTTTTTATATTTATTAAGTCATAAAACCAAGTAATTACAACTGGGAAAACAGCTTATTAGGGCAATATATTACAGTTTTTGTCTGTTTCAGATAATTCATATTTATTTTGTTTAGTAAATAGCTGGTATAAGCATGCGAAGTAGAGGATTAGAACTACAGAAACAAATCAGATGCATAAATTGAAATGTTGAACATTTGTTAATCCCAAATTGCATAAATGAATTTCAGTCTTCTGTTGAAGGAAAAGAAGTAATAATATTTTTAAGCATGCTTTACAAAAAATGTTAATGTAGTTCAAAAAATGTAAATTATATCATAAAAATTATACCTGTAAAAGATGAGGTACTCTCATAAAAATCCCTTCAGCCATGAAACTGTCATCAAGCAGCATGATTTCATGCCAGTTATGGATGTGATGTCACAACACAGTCATCTGTGCTTTCGTTTGATCTAACCCTTATTGCTCCTTGGTGAACTACCTTTTTTTAATGAGGTATGATATAAATTAACAGATATTGGCACATTCATTTCATCAGTTATAAATGTAATTCATAGAATTAAACAGAGTTTCTAGTAAAATTGGAGGACCTAATAAAGTAATAGAAATAAAGGAAAGCATAATGAAGTGTAAAAATGAAATGAGTCGAATATTTCTGTACCATTGGCTATTTGGTGGATTGTGTAAAGAGAAACTGATATTTTAAGTGTTAAGAATTGTAGATGGAAGTATGGCTCAGAATTCCATAGGAACAATTGACACAACATTGGTGGGTTCTCTACTATTATAGTTTGAGGGTAGCCAACTTTCATGTTTGATGAGATAATACACATGTGCCATAAATTATATAAAAAATTTCTGAAAATGAATGTTAGTGTGAAACCAGAAACTGAATGATTAAAAACTAAAATATATACCAGCATAACATCTAACTAAGGCAGTGGATCAGAATTTTCTTCATATTTTCTTGTTCTTTGTATACTTATGGATTTACATAGTGTATTCTGAATGTAATAAATCTTTGCAGTTCTTATTTAAAAAAAATATGTAAATTTCATGTGGAAATGTAAGTTAAAAATTTTATACATAAATGCACTGCAAAGTGAATTATTCCTGTTTTTGCTACAGAGATGGTGATAAGATGGCTCCAACGGTGGAAAAAAAGATTGCTGAGTTGGAAATGGGTTTACTTCATTTGCAACAAAATATTGACATTCCAGAAATTACTCTACTCATTCACCCATCTGTGGCTAACACAATAAAAAAAGCAAGTGAAGAAGGAAGAAAAGCCACTGTCAATGACTTTGGTGATAAAGTTGAAGATTCAACTTTTCTGAACCAATTGCAAAATGGAGTCAATCGCTGGATTCGAGAGATACAAAAGGTAAAGGACAGTCCGTGCTTCCATTTCATTACTATTGAACTATGTATTAGTGCAGTTAAAAGTCTGAGATCCATACTCATCGGGATTTCTAGGTCTTCAGTTTAATCTAGTAAGATACATGTAGAAACTATAAAATTAAAAAAAAAAAAGGTAATATTTGTTTATGAATAAAGGAAGCGTATAACCAAGGGAATCAGAATTTACAAAAATAGCTCAATATTGATCTGTTTGCTTTATAAAAAATTTCTTTCAATGTAAATTGTTTAAGCTGCTTCATTTCTTATGCTAATGCATTCTCTTTAATTTTGTAGACGTATAATTTCTTACTCAGAACTCCTTGTTCATGTTCTGTAATTGCCTTGTTGAGAATTCCCATTAAATTGTCAATCAAAATTTTTTCATTCTTAGCAGCTTGTCTATCTCACTATTCACTGATATTTTCTGCATTTAGAACCATAAACAGATATCGCCATCTGTTGGTTAATTGATGATTATGACATTATCATTGAAAAAAAAAAAAACTTCTCTTATGTCATCTTTATTGTACTATCACTTCTCCACAAATTCCATTAATTGGAAGTTTTGCTTTTTGTTTGTGAAACCGTAAAATTCACAGCTGTCATCATAAAGTTTAGCTAGTGGCCGTTAGACACTATTGGTGACATATCCTGCATGAGATTGGCAACTGATTAAATTTTGTGTTGCTTCTATCATATGCTGAGGAAGTTAGTTAATTGTATCTAAAGCTAAGGAAATCTAGTCTGTTAGGTTAGTTATTTATTGTACTTATGTCTATTTCCTATATATGCTTAAAGCTTATCTGAGTTCTGAATAAATTAATTCCTACATATACTCAAAGCTTATCTGGATAACAAGTGAGGTATTCTTATTCAAACATCACTAAATTTAACCTTTTGTCTATGAATATCATTTACAAAATCTACTTTTTGCGTATGGAAAGAAATTCCTCATCGTAAAAGCCACATAGCATTTAACAGCACAGTTGTCATCACCAAACCTGTAATCATCAGGAAGCCAAATATCAAGATAAAAGGTTCATCATAAAAAAAGGTTACTGTACTGTTTGGTATTCAGTTAATAATATTTTTTTTCTAAAGTACCCTTATGTTATTGGGGTCGGATTTAAAAATTGTATGTATGCATTTATGTGCGTATATGTCTACATTGAAATCCATCCATATGTACATGTATACATGAACACATCAATCCATGCATACATATATACATTTCTAAATCCAGTCCTTGTAACAGAGAAGTACCAAAAATTGTTTTAGACTTCCTGCATGAGTCATTTCTCAAGCTGGCATGAGCTGATACTCATGTTTTGATGAAAGCAACAAATGATGAAAAATGATTTACCAGTTTGGTGTCAGGGATATAAGCTTCAGTAGCTGTAAAATCAATGATAAACTTTGGTAGTGTTTCTATTTGAGTTGTTTAGCAAGCAAGAAGGCAGCCTAATTATTGATCATATAGGTTTATGCTAATTAATGATAGTGTTTCTTCAACATGAAGGCGTTTATTTAGTGCCAAAGTGAAATTAAGAATCCGTTCTCATGCTTTATGATGAAAAATGTCTACTGCTCATGTGAGAGGCATATGCTAATACGAGATGCTCTGATCAAAATGTAATTCTTTCATGATTTTTACCCAAAAGGTTATTAACCTTCCAGCACGCGCACGTCGTATTTTTTACTACATCCGTTATTTTACCGTTTTTGGCATGAAAAACAACAGAAATGAGTGAATATTAATAATAAATTTGTTAATAAATAAAATATTAATCTTATTATTGCAAAATACAAATGATATCACATTCAAATATAAGTAAATTATTTTTAAGTTCTTATGTTAGAGAGATGGAAATGCAGTGACGTATTTCATTATAGAACATTTTAAATTTATTATTTAATAATTATATTTAAAATCGAAGCAATTTTAATATTCATCAAAAGCAAGTATAGACAAATAAAAAAGGAAAACACCTTGGTAGGAAAAAAGTAAGTTTAGCATTACTTACTTCTGCAAGGAAATTTACTTCTTACTGGTTACAAAAACGCACTTTAAACTAACTTTAATATTTTTATTTATTTCTAAAAAATGGAAATAAAAGAAAGTAAGGAATTGAAATCGCTATTGTTTTCCCATCCAAAGGTTTCCTTGTCTTACTTTTCTTCATCAGATAATTCTTGAAGAATACGAGCAAAATCAGCTGCTTGCACATATTTTTTTGCCATGAAAACTGATATAAAATTTACAGAGCCAAGTGTATTCAAATCAAAATAATACATGGCAATTAATAACACAAAATTGCAAAATATTTGAGAAAAAAATATTTTCTTAATTTTCACCTACGAACACATGCGTGTTGTCGTAACTTTTATGGAAAAGCTGCCTCAGTGCCAATTAAAAAAAAAAAAAAAAGTCAAATGACTTCCTGTTGGCACATTCCATGATGTGGGGAAGGGTCGAAAGGAGGAATAGAAATAACATTTAAACATCTCAGCTTCGATATACGTAAAATTTGCATTACAAACTGAATTTGCCGTAAATTTTGCTGGAAAGTTAAAAACAAAATGCTAGTAGTTTGGATATTGGGATGGATTCTGGGCTTTATATTGTATTAGCTTTCAGAATGTTAATCAAAATTCAAGTGATTATATATAGTACTTCTTGCATTCAGGACTAGATTTAGATTTGACCAAAACGCTAAGGTATTTGAAATAGGGGGTCCTTTATGAGGGATATAGGTCAATTTTTTTTTTTTTTTTAAATGGGATATGGTACAATATTTTGGGGTGGCCCCAAGAAAGTGGGGGACCTAAGCTATAGCTTGTGCAGCTTGTACTTAAAAATCTGACACTGCTTGTATTGAAAAGTCATAAACATGTGCAAAAAAGATAGCATATGCTATAGTTGTTCGCAGAAGTAAAACACAAAAAAGCACAAAGATCTTATGAGATACTTACAATATGACATGATATTGGGAAAATAATGCAACCAAATATTTTTCATTCTTAAAAAACTTTTTTTCTACTTTTTTATGCATTTATATGGGAATCAGTTTTGCTAGTGTTCAATGATACAAATGAAGTAAAAATTTTTTTTGCTTTTCAATGTGGTCAACGTGTATGGAATAATTGTATATATTTAATTTGCACTCAGTAATTTTTTATGGTCTATAATTTTCTGTTTAGGTCACTAAACTGGATAGAGATCCATCATCTGGTACAGCTCTTCAGGAAATTAGCTTCTGGTTAAATCTCGAGCGTGCTTTGTTGAGAATTCAAGAGAAACGTGAAAGTCCTGAAGTCGCTCTCACTCTTGATATATTAAAAAAGGGAAAACGTTTCCATGCAACAGTCAGTTTTGATACTGATACAGGTGAGTCTTTTTCACCAAACTTTAGATTCCAGATGAATGAAGGCATTTAAGTAATTATGAAACCATATTTCTGATATCTTAATAAATGTTCAGTGATAAATAAATGTGTTCATTTTATAGGTATATTTATACTAAATAAGTAAGCAATATTAGTATAAAAGAATAACTGTGAAGTATTGTTGTGTTATTTTCTGACACCACTTGTTATGCTATTTTCTTCTTTCACGTTCATACGTGAAAGGATGAATGTACGTTGTGAGGATTTGGAGTGAATAATTATGACAGCACTTGATAAAGTATCAAACCATACTTCATTTGCCAGTATTTCCAGGACAGCTTAAAAATCACGTTTTACAGTCGTCGAATATCTCCTATAAACACGCTGAAACTCAACGACATAGCCTTCAGGTCATCAGGCTATAACAGTGGAGACAGCTTCACTGCAAAGCACCAGAGTACAGCACCCGACTCTGCTCAGTCGTTCTTGGAACTCCGCATACTCTCGAGACTCGCAATCGACGACACACAGAGCACAGCTCCCGACTCTTTGGTTCAGTTCGCTCCTGGAGCTCCACACACTCTTTTAACAATGCGCTAACCACGATACACTAAGAGACTCTTTCGATGCGATCAACGACTCGCTCGGTATTGTTTTCCGGCTGTCAGCTCGATTGACTCCACACGAACTGACTAACTCGAGACTCTAACTCAATACTAACTGACTGATTCTCCGTGTACCAGCAGGGTTTATGTATCTTTTGGCTTGTGTTCAAGAACATTCTGGACAAAACCAATTAGAATTTGTTCCAGAAGGTTCTCAATCCGTCCTTGGCATATCCCCAATTTTGTTCCCAAATGGGTGATTTCTCGCCAAGTGGAGCAACCCTTCCTTCCTTTACCATTTTATGGCAACCCTAAATTTGCTTTGCGGGGAAAGCTATCTTACCACATATGTCCATTTCGTAACAGTATGTAATTGGTTTTTGCATGAAGTAATAATTGCAATTTTAGACCTGAATGAATATAGAAGAACATTAAGTTTGTAAAACAGGCACCATTTTAAGATTAATTAGATATGATTTTGAGAGAATTTTCTTAATTAAAAAAAATATGTATATGAGCAGTATGTACTGAAGGCTGTTAAAATATCAGATAAATGTAGAAAATATTGCTATAGCATAAACATAGGTATATATACAGTTGCTTACTGCTAGCAGTATCTTTAAAAAGTGTCTGTAGGCTTTTGAAGTACAAAAGTTAAGAGTTCAATGTGTTTTTATTTATTCAGAATAAAATCTTATGCATAAAACAGTGCATTAATTACAGAAATTAAATATTAATTCGAAAAGCAATAAAGTCATAAAACTAAAAGAAAATTTTTGATTGCTGTTACTCTGTTTTATCGACATTGAAATTTGAGATTTGAGATAAAATAATTTTACAATTCATTGTTGCATGCTCCAAATATTGTAGTTTTTTTTCTTTTTTTTTTTTTTTTTTTTTTTTTTTTTTTTTTTTTGTACATACAGGATTTGCAGTTTTTTTTTTTTGGGAGGGGGCAATGTGCAGGAGTACTTAAAAGTACTTCAGTGTGGAGGAGTCTTCTATTTTTTCTGCAAGGTACATAACATTTCCTTTTTTTGATGAAGTTATGGCCTCCAGTTCGTTTGCTTAAACTTTGACTGCTGGTGCAATAGCAATAAACTGCTGCTGTTTTTCTGGAGATTATAAAGGAAAATTTCCACTCATATCTTTGGATATTAATTTCCTACTCAACTGTTTCAAAAATAAGCATAGTTTTATCTCCAGTCAACTTACATACGTAGGTAAGGGAGGTAATATTTTCAGTAGAAAAATTTGATAGTGAGATTTGGCAAATAAGCACAAATTAGGGTCCTCATTACATGCTTTTACTGTTACTTCCCATCAACATATACAGTACAAAGTCTTTAATCCGGACTCATTGGGACTTCGGCGATTCCAGATTAGGGGTTTTTCTGGATTTTAGATCATCAGTTTAAATCTGGTAAGATGGCATGCAGGAATTATAAAATTAAAAATATGAAACCATAATTTATGAAATAAAAAGCAATTATGATCTAATAGATATCAAAATTTACAAAAAAAAAAAAAAAAAAAAAAAAAGCTTAATATTTATTTGTTTACTTTATTAAACATTTCTTTCAATGTAAAATGTTTAAGTTGCTTCGTTTTATGTGCTAATAATTTCTCTTTAATTCTATAAACAAACATAATTTCTTGTTCAGTTACAAAGTTCCGCTGTTCAAGTCCTGTAATTGCTGTGCCGAGAATACCGACTAACCTATCAATCGAAATTTTTTCGTTTTCACCTCTGTGTCACTTTCTTCATGCCTTTATCCATTTTTTGCAGAAATTCCACTTTTTGTTTGATGGACATCGAAACATGCTTTCGCTTTGTAGATCATTTAGCAGCTCCAGAATCGGAAACTCTCTTTGACATAATCGAAAGTTCAAACTTACTTTTTATAAAATTGCTCTAACAGTCTGCAAAAAATAATAAGCCGGATAAAATTAGAAGATTAAGGAACAACGCAATCTGCAACATTAACTGAAATAGATAATTAGATAATTTTAGCCTAGCTTATACCATCTGTTATATATTAAACATGGATGCGTAAATGTATTATGTGCATGCGTAAAGGTATTATGCGCATGCGTAAGCGCTACACATGCGCAGAAAGTTTGTAGTTTTGAGGTTCGGATTATAGATCATTGTGGATTATGGATGTCTGGATTAAAGACTTTGTACTGTAAATATAGGTAAGGGAGGTAATGTTTTTGGTCTAAAAATTTGATAGTGAGTTTTCAATGAACAAGTATTAGGGTCCCTACAATACAATATGTTTTTACTATTTTTAGAATATCTGTTTGTATGTGTGTGTGACAATTTTTTCATCCATCACTCTTATATGAAATTTCCAATATTTTCCATTTTTGTATTTAAGCTTTCTACATTCATATGAAGAATTTATTAGATTTTGTTTAAAACTGGACAACCAGAAGTGTTACTTTACTTGAAGCCCATAAAGGCCTGCTTGTATTAGCAGGACTATGAGCCCAAGAAACATGTAGAAACTTCTTGGCTTTGCTGAAGGGATAAATGTCTGTCACTATTTTTAGTGTGTATGTATTAACAGAACCACTGTGGCCCAATTTGACAATTTTTTACGCATGAAAATGTAAGTTACTTATCAGGTGCAAGCTGCTGGTTTTTGTGACTTTTTAAAAAAGGATTTTCAAAGTATCGATAATTAGTGTTCATTGACAAGCGTTATCAACATATGAAAAGTCAACATACATTAGATATAAATTCCAACATATGTTAGATAAAATTTAAAATACAAATTTTAATTATTAAATAAGGATTATATGATGTATTAAAAAATGAAACATGTTTACCTCCAGATCTTTCTGTAATTTTTTTTGTGTGCTTTTCTTCTTCTTGAGTACACAATAATCTATTATTACTTAAAAAAACAGTGAAGTGTAGAAATTCAACATCGATCAAACTTCAACACTGACTATGTATGCATCTCATTATATCTTTTAGAGAATTTGAGGAAGAAAGTTGATATTTCTGCGAGAATTTTGCTTCAGTTTCTTTCACTGTTGGCAAATTCCACAAGCACAAATTTTAAAATTTACTTTAAGACAAAAAATATCATGTTTGTCTCTAAAAACTATTGGAACTTGGAATAAAACGAAAGGAACACATATGAGAATGACGATGTTGCTTGGCTAGAGGATTATTATGACTATGGTTGCCTAAATAGTGGTTATGTACTTGGTTCCCTGAGTTTGGAACATCTTGAAAATTTGACAACTTCTAAAGTGGTTGCAATAACACACAAGTGTCCTTTTTTAGAAATTCTTGAATACTATAAACAGCCAACATATGTACATAAGTAAGGGTATTATGTTTTATTAGTGAGTTTTGAGTGAATAAGCATGAATTAGGGTCCCCACAATACTTTAAAAAATATTTTTACTATGTTATCTGTATTTGTGTGACATTTTTTTTTTTTTTTTTTTTTTTTTTTGTTGTTCACGATAATTCTTAAATGGGATTTTAAAAAATTTACATTTTATGTATTTAATATTCTACATCCATATAAAGAGTTGATTAGATTTTGGGTAAAATTGTAGTACTGGAAATAATACTTTACAGGAAGCTCATAATTGCCTTTAATGGATAACCAGAAGGGGTACTTTACTTGAACCCCATAACACTTCTTAATAATAATAATAATAATAATAATAATAATAATAATAATAATAAAAACAATATTAATATATAATCCGAAACTTATCAATTTTACTATTCAAGATTTTTATATCGATGAGAACAACACATTTTATTTTATTTTGGCTAAAATAAATAAACAGAAAGTGATACTTTATTTTCAGCTCTGAACAGATGTTTGTAAAAGAAAAATGTTATCAGGTAATCCAAAACTTCTCAAATTTAGTATTTAAAGTAGCAGTTGTTATTGAGAACAATGTGTTACATTTAAAAATATTAAATATATTCTTGGAATTATTCTAAATGTAATGAGAATTAGCTCATTGGGAAGATGAGCTCTTGTTCTGATGAAATTAAATATATTAACCTCTATCGTCAATTTTAGTTCATTTCGGCTTTGAATTACTTTCATGTAAATGGATGCTGCCACCAAATATTCTCACTCTATTATTTTTAAAGAAATAATATAGTAAATGTAAATAATATTCCCAGTATAAAACAAAATGTATAGCAACACTTAACATTCTATCTGGAATTCTAAAGATATGCTGCTGTTAAAAATTTTGTGATTGTTAACTCATTGATTTTGAATCTGAAACATTATATGACCAGAGAATATACTATAATCAGTGTTATATTTTCACATCAATGCATGAGAATACGTAAACATGTATAATTACCATTACTGTTTGTATAGGAGAATAATAAAAATGAC